TGTAAAATCAGGAAAAGACACCTGTTACCATATTACTATATCCAGAATCTAACACAATATCTCATATTTTTTAGTTAAAAGTTGACCAAATCTGAACAACAGAGGTGGTAGCTCAGAAGACATGCGCATGATCTGCATTTGGAACAATCATATGGGTCATTGTGGACAACAGTGACAGGTGACCTATTTTGTCTGTTTAGGTGTGAGGAAACTAGAAACTCGTAGTGTTCTTCGTCTGCATCTGGAACCATCTGTTCTGTGTTCCTTCACACAGCCTTTAAACATTAATAAGGTTGCATCAAAAATGATCCATACGTAAAGCACCTGATTCCACTCAGAGCCTTTAATTGAGGTTCTAGTAAAACCTCTGTGATGTTTCTTGTCAAGGGTTCTATAAATATAATATGTTTTCACTCTTATGCCTATAAGGTGCTATAATATCATGAGTGGGTTTATATTTTTTATTAGCAAATCTGAAGTCAGCGACAGGCACTCCTATGTGACTCTTCTAACTATCATAAATAATTGAAAGAACACAATTCCAGTCTGCTCAGCAAATCATGATGACAGACTGTCCTCATTTTGAGACTTTATGTTGTCTCCCACATGGCTGCATAGGTTAGCACCATCACTTGCAAGGCAGAGGTCCTCTGTTTGAACCTGGTGACTGCGCAGCTGGGGCTTTTAAATTAGTATATTCTCCCTGTCTGTGCACTGGTCCCTCCAGTTTTTTCCATGCAGGTCAGGGGAAGTGAAAACTAAAAATAGCCTGTATTAAACAATTATAACATGTGATGTGAAACAGATATACTGCAGACCGTGTGACTGCACACCAAAGTCTCCCTGGTGTTTCTGATGCAGTGGCTAAACCCTTTAAAATACAAGAAAAAGCATGAGCAATAGGATGAGCACATTGCACTGTTTTGTGAAAATAAAGGGACCGTTAAAGTGACCACTGTGAAATAGCCCCCTCTGACTTCACAGAAAGCAGAATGGAAACCAAATATAAAACCCACCAATAAAAAGACATTATTTCTTTGTCTTCTTGTGACATTTAATTCCGCAATTAACATTCGATGGCAGATTGCCTCAATTTAATTTTAGCATCTTCATACCCTCTGCTGTTCTCTCCTTTGAGCTTTTCACAACTGGTTATTAGTGGCTGCTGATGCAGAGAGTGCTGCTGAAAAATCTCAGTTTTGAGGAAAAAGGAAGGAGTTAAAGTGACACTTCAAAGAGTGAAAATATGAATTAGTGTACCCTCTATATTTGACGGTTCTTGTGCAATCAAAAGGAGCTGGGTTGAGCGTGTAGGAGGGAAACATGACACACCTTCATCACCCCTGAAATAGCCAAGGCTAGCAGGTCTCTCTGGAAGTACAAACAATAATGGTTTCTCTTCTGCACGACTTGAAATTAATGTTATATAAAACTCATAAACTCATCCAGGCACATTGTGTACTGGCGAAAAGTCCTTGACTGGTATGTTGGAGTTCTGAGCTCTGAATCTTCCTTTTATTTGTCTGTCTAGCACGATGTGATGTGGTCTCTATAACTAACATGGAGGAGTCATTTTCGAAGTACTGCATATTTTATCAAAATATTTCATATGTGATTCAAACCCAAGTCAAGATGATGATGATAATTATCTACAGCAACAGATGGTGATGTAGCTGAGATCTCCAAAAGGGATCAAGTCCAAAATGTTGTTGCCTTGATCATGGATAAAGCTTCGCTCGAAAAACACGTTGAGAGATGAAGAGAGGTGTTTTCTATTTAGTCGACATTTAACGGCATATGTGCTCTTCATGTCCACATTGCGAGGTTCGGATGGAAAAACATTATGTAAGAGGAGAGGGTCTGTGTGACTCAGCTGGAGGGAGCTCAGTGTTATCATCCTCAAGAGTTCAATAAATACAGAGTTCAATAAAATGTAAAGGTCAATAACTGTAACTAGTGTATATTGCTCTGCTGAAAGCACGATCCATTAAGTGGTAGAAATGTGCAGGGACGAGGTGAAGTAAGCTTAATAATATATAACAATAGAAATATGCATATTTTTGAATCCCCCCCCCCCCTCCAAATGATCCTGTTTCTCCCTTAGAGAGCTCTGGATAGACACTTGTCTGCTTTAAGTAAAGTATCTCATATGTGGAGGAGTTCAGTTTTCTTAAGATGGATTTAGACTTGATGCCTGGGTATATTGGCAGTCCTGTTGTAGATACCCACAGAATTTTGATATATAGTTCTGCATCAGAATTCACCCATTGATGTCAACACTGCAACACTACTGAAGATCAGGGGTCTTCAACATTTCTCAAGCCAAGGACCCCTTAGCTGGAAGAGAGACGGAGCAGAGGACCCTCGCCCCTACTAGATACAGTATATTGTATAAAATTGAGTTGCATATTTAACTGGGCCTGAAGTTCCATGAATAAACATTAGGGCTCCTCCTGAAAGTTGGAGACTCGAATCATAAGTCAGAGGCCCCTTAAGTCAAGCAAGTTTTTTTTTGTTGGTTTGCTAGTCAGTGTGCAGTGTAGGCTACTTCAGGGAACACTTTGGTTCCCAGTTTTTGCTGCAGAGTGAGCGCTCTTCACTTTCAATTTGCTCTTCAGCACAGACAGCTGCAAACACAGAGGTAGCTCCCCAGAGGAGGAGAGGATTTGCCTGGTCAGGCTCTGAGATAACGTTATCTTCTGCCTTCTGCTAAGAGGTGGTGAGTTTACAGCTCACAGCAACTTAATGCCAAACGGTCTCTGGCTTTTGTTTGATATCTAAAATGTTGTTTCACATTTCCAATCCATCGTTAGCACAGTGCACTTATTTAATATATTATGTGAGTGTCACTGCACAACGTGATCTCATAGAACTGGTTGTATGATGTCCTACGAATTAGCGCCCCGCGAATTATGTCACATCCCTAATTTACAGTTACATAATTAACATTAAATAATGATTGTTAAGAATAGGCAAGTAAAGTTCACACAGTTCCAAGTGTGCGACTCCAGGGGAAAGTCCAAGGGAAAGTCCAGGTTTTTGTGACCCATCCACCGCCTCAACCTTCCTGCTCACAAGACCACTGGGGACTGCTTCCTTGTTTACTCCTGTAAGCTCATTGGTTGCATTACTTTTTGCAGGAAAATATACAAGCAATTTGTGAGAACAGCCAGCACTATTAAACTGAACATCCTGCTTTAATGCTGTGTGAAAGTCATACCCCTGTATACATGATGTTTGTTTCTCAGGTGAATGGTATTTAGGAGCCTTTTGCTCAGAGAGTTATAAGCCCTTTTTATTTATTTATTTTTTTTTTCATGTCTATTCATTCTGTTTAAACATAGTATTTCTTGCAGATAAAGATTTTTGCATTTAAAGATCAGGGTTATTAGTATTATACTATTTGTAAAATTATATTCCAGTTGTGGCTGCGTAGGATGGTTTCTGACTCTTGTGAACTCCAGAGTGTTGTAAAGTTCAAAAGAAAAAAATATCTTAAAAAAGATAGATGTAATCATATTAAAACATGTTTTTATCATTAACAAAATATTCTGCCTTATTTGTTGGCGTTCAGCCTTTCAAAAACAAAAGATTTTACTTGATCAAAAACCTGTTTGCCTGTGGCACACAAAGGGAGGCACACATCTGAAATAACACAGCACAGCCAAATGGCAATCTAACAGCTCCATAAATTACATTTATTCATTAAAGAGCTTTGATTTTATGAAAACAGACCAACTTTTTAATCCAATGAATCACTTTATTCAAATTGAGGATTTTTATTGTAGGATTTAAAAAAAATATTTAGGGTGTAATATCATGAAATATGACGGCAGTCGTCAGAAGCCTCATTCAAAAACCTCAACACAAACTTCAAATGTAAAACAATGACACTCGGTACAGCCCCATCCACAGTAATTATGTTCATGCTTTTGTTAACTGTGATAGAGAGCAAGGTTTGATGAGCAGAAGATCTGCAGCAGAGATTGTGTTGCTTGATGTGTGTTACTGAAAGGAAGAAGACTACTGAGACTATCTTCAGCTTACTTAAAGGAATGCTTTGCCAATTATTAACCAGGCCTGTGTCGCCAGGGTGTGTGGAGTGTGTGCAGATGTTGTGGCACCCCCGGGGCCACCAGCTTCCTACCCGTCCGGCAGTCAAAGTCCCCCTGATGACACAAAATGTGGGGAAATTTTACTCATGACACAAGAGCCCCCACTGCTAGCACAGTGGGAAGGCCCTGCACAACCCCCCCACACCACAGCGACATAGGCCTTGTTGAAAACCCATAAAGTATAGCTGCAATCTTCACAATCTCCACATGGATTGGAAAATTTGAGAACACACACGCAGCCCAAACTTAAGTACTGTTTCTGTGGCCTTTAAAGCTGAATAACCGTAGTTGCTGTAACCCTGATTTGTGGTCACATTTGTGAGGTGGAGTATAACAACTGCAGCAACGTACCCACTATGTCTGTGCTTGGGCTCTGTAGCTATGCTCCAACCCCTTAGCACACAACTATAAATACACCTTTAGTCATTTTTATTGCATGAGATATGGTTCTAAGTGTTCGCTTCTAATAAATGTGTAGTCTTCTCTTTTTGAATAATAATATGTATGTAAATTTCTCTGTAGATGTATGTGTCTTAATGAACCTGATTTCATATGGTGTCTGACACACAGCTTACATAGTGCGTTGTATAGTAGGCTCTGTGTGTGAAGATGTTTGTGATGTTTGTGCACGCAGGAGTGTGTTCTTGCATCTCATTGTAGTTAAGTGGTCCCACGTCACGTTTTGATCCTCAGAAGCTGGCTGTAGTCCTGGCATCAAACCAATTTCTCCTCTCCCTTCATTTATCATATTTTACAACATGTTTGGGACCTGATGCTCCTCTAAAGCCTCTGTAATGTGCACTTCACTTGCAAAAATGCTTTTGTAAACAATGATCAAGACAAGGCTCTGAGATCCGTCTCTGTCTCTCTCTTGTCTCTTCGCAGGGGAAGAGGAATAAGCCCGGGGTGGAGGCTGCCAGCTCTCCAGATTCTGTGCGAGGTCGAGGGGAAAATAAAGCCATCAAGTAGGTGTCAGGGAGGGTTTAGATGGAGGCGTATGGAAATGATCTATGATGTGGTGATAGTATCACATTTTAACAGCCGTTTCTGATTGGAAAGCTAATCTTGTAGCTCCTTCCTTACACGGTCTAAAATGTCCACCATGAAATGATGCCCTCAAGACAGTGTTATATGGGTATATTTCTCATTTATCAAAGAGGCTGAATTATATATATATATATTCTGTTTGTATAAATCAAAGTTATGAATAAATAAGCTTTACTTCAAAATGACATTTCCTTTAATCAGTTTGGAAAATACAAACACAGAAATTTAAATGCTGTAGTCACACATTATTACAGAACACCACAACAGTGTTATCTACAACTTAAAAGGGTAACTATTTTTCAACCTGGATCCATGTTTTGTGACTAATGGGTACAAAATTTTGAAGTTTGTCCAAGGTTGAGCAGGAGCATTGCGGCTGGCTGCTGCCAAACAGGCTGCAATATTATTACTCAGGGCGATTACGTGCATTAAAGTGCTTGTTTTTGCCTTTGACAGACTCTGATTGTTGTTACTAGTGTATGACAACATTGTTGAGACAGAGCTTTTTGTTAAAGAGAAAGATCCTTTTCCATATCTTAGACTTCCCTTTTATCCTGTGGAACTACACTCACTGGCCACCTTATTAGGTACACCTTGCTAGTACCAGGTTGGACCCCTTTTGCCTTCAGAACTGCCTTAGTTCTTGGTGGCATAGATTCAACAAGGCGCTGGAAAGATTCCTCAGAGATTTTGGTCCATATTGACATGATAGCATCACACAGTTGCTGCAGATTTGTCGGCTGCACATCCATGATGCGAATCTCCCATTCCACCACATCCCAAAGGTGCTCTATTGGACTGAGATCTGGTGACTGTGGAGGCCATTGGAGTACAGTGAACTCATTGTCATGTTCAAGAAACCACTTTGAAATGATCTGAGCCATCAAAAGATGGGTTCGCTGTGGTCATAAAGGGATGGACAAAGACAGCAACAATACTCTTCGGACCCAAAGGTGTGCCAAGAAAATATCCACCACACCATTACACCACTACAACCAGCCTGAACCGTTGATACATGGCAGGATGGATCCATGCTTTCATGTTGTTTACACCAAATTCTGACCCTACCATCTGAATGTTGCAGCAGAAATCGAGACTCATCAGACCAGGCAACATTTATCCAATCTTCTGTTGTTCAATATTTGTGAACCCGTGCAAATTGTAGCCTCATTTTCCTATTGTTAGCTGACAGGAGTGGCACCCGGTGTGGCCATCTGCTTCAAGGTTTGACGTGCTGTTCATTCAGCGAGTGGTTATTTGAGTTACTGTTGCCTTTCTATCATCTTGAACCAGTCTTGCCATTCTCCTCTGACCTCTGGCATCAACAAGACATTTTCGCCCAGAGAACTGTCACTCGCTGGATATTTTCTTTTTTCCAAACCATCCTCTGTAAACCCTAGAGATGGCTGTGCATTAAAAAATCCCAGTAGATCAGCACTTTCTGAAATACTCAGACCAGCCCGTCTGGCACCAACAACCATGCCACGTTTGAAGTCACTTAAATCACCTTTCCTCCCCATCGTGATGCTCAGTGTGAACTTCAGCAGGTTGTCTTGACCTTGTCTACATGCCTAAATGCACTGAGTTGCCAACACGTGACTGGCTGATTAGCTACTTGCGTGAACAGGTGTACCTAATAAAGTGGCCGATGAGTGTATGAGTTACATCTAGTATCTAGTTTAAAGAACTGTGCCCAGTTTTAGAATATAACTTTATAGGCATTGACACTATCACTTTTTCCTATTTATTAACAATCGTTCTCTGACCTTTAGATTTATGAGAAAGTATTCTAACTTCACTCTTTTTGAGTTTTTTGTTTCTCTCAACACTTCCCTCATCTGTCATGTTGTTCCTCTTTAACTGTCTTTGATTGCTAGCTGCTCTTACCTGTCTCACATGTCCCCTTCTCTTTCTCTAGCCACAGTGATCTAGACAGAGACTTTTGGAATAACAATGACAGCAGCAATGTGCAACAGAGGTGGAGCTCCTACCCGCCCAAGGAGTTCCTCTTAAACATGTCTCCTTACGCTCCCTAAGGAGACCCTCGCCTCACGCCCAAGTGAGTCTCAGTCATGGCTGGTAAGGGACCCCTCAATCTGGGCAGGGCTGTAATGAACAGGGGCTAGTGTGCACCTGGGAGAACTCCCACAAAGCTGTATAAGTAGTTGACGTAATAAAAACTGGGCATTATTAACACAGTAAAGATGTGTTTTGCACACTAAATTAAAGATTAAACAAAGTGTAGCCTGTGGCTTTTTTTGAGTGTAGGTACCTGACAAATAACACAAAAATGCTCAGAGGCAAATGCTGATCAATATATCACTCTGTGCAATGAAAAGGTCACATTTAATAGCCTGAAGGGGGGCAGAGAGCCGCATTTTGTAACGCTGTCTGGTCACATGTCTTTTAACAGGAGTCTCCCCTCATCCCTGGTAATCCTCATGTTTTTGCTCTCAGGCATGTCGACAGCGAGGCAGTGTTTAGTATGCACTGCTGGCCATGCAGCACCTGATAGAAATGTGCAGCAGCATCCCTCAATATTGCTGTGATTCCTAGGACTGCCCTAACGACCATTTTCCAAATGATCGCTTTCAAATGGAAAGACAGCGTTTCTGTCTGCCAATAGCCATACGAAATTAATGGATGCATCCCATCTAAAAGCAGAAAATAGTCTTTAAATCATTAATGTTTATGAGATAGAGGATTACAGAGAGAATTACATTTATATTAGAGACCCTCCTTTTTGGGTCTGGTTTGGTTGTTACAGTGAAAAACTCAAAACACAGAAAATCAAATCTGGAGAATAGTTTGCTTTAGCAGTGTACAGGGTGTACAAGTGAAAGGTTTGATAGCCCCATTCCCTACAGCCCTGCTAGCCTCATCAGATCCCCTTACCCTCTCACCTGTAGCCCATGGAATGTTACCATGGAGATCTCGCCGCTTCATCTGAACCTTTTCTCCCTTTTATACACCTAAGCCTCTCAAGTCCAAGTAATCAAATCTGCTCTGCAGGATACTGTAGCAGACTTAAATATATACTTACCTGAGCTGTAAGAGGTTTCAATAGAGGGTTGACTGTTGTTGATGTTAAAATATTTCTTTATGTTTGAAGGTATTAGGTTCAGCATGTTCTCATTCCTACTCGTCAAATACTGCCACTTCATCAGTGGACCTATACGCCAAAATATGAAGAGCAATATACCCTCCTGCCTTAGTTTTGGACGCTCCGGGATGGCACGTAAATTTTTACTTATAACAAGCAATGCCTCTTTTCAAAATACACTTCCTCCTTCACAGGAAAGATACAGTTTCTCCACGTTAAATGCATACAGTCAGTCATAGGTAAAACTTAATTTTAAGGTTGATTTCCTTAAGTTTGGCAACAAAAGTCTGTGGTTTCATTTAGCAAAAAAACATCATGATTTGGCCTAAAATAAGTTTGGTTGATACTAATGTAGTATAACATCACGTGACATATGTCATGCTACAGTTGTCACCAGCTACACATACATGTCCAAAAAAGAATGTAGGACAACTGAACATAGACGATAGTGGCATCTCACATCTTATATACATCACTTTGATCAAATTTGATCATAACTTTCATTACGTGCACGTAAGGTGCGCAATGTTAAATAGTTCCAAATTTAACGTAAGAGCAAAATAAAATATGTTAACATAAGAATGTAGTTCTTCAACATTGAATTATGTAGATGAAAAATAACGAACATAGAAAAACAAGACAATCTACTGGATACGGCCTCATGAAAATAAATCTAATGTTACATTAGTTTCACACAGGAAACAAACTGCAGTCTCGTGGGTGAAAACATGCAGACGTTCTTGCTTTTTATACCACAGTTTTTGCCTGTTGCATCAGAAACAGCCGCCACCCAGTGGGCCATGGTGTCTGCTGTAAAGGTCCACTGACAAAGCAGCGGCATTTGACGACTTAGGAGTTAGAGCATGTTGTTAGTTTACCTTTTCTCACTCATGGGTTAGTTTGACATTTTGGGGTGTATGCATATTTACTGGCAGAGAGTAAGATGGGAAAATCAGCACCACTTTCTGCCTCTCACTTTGTATTGTTAAATCTCAGGTCTATAATGTGGTAGCTAGCATGAAGACTGGAGACAGGGGAACAGCTAGCCTGGCTCTTTCAACATAACAAAAGCCACCTACCAGCCCCTCTGAAGCCCGCTGTTTAACACATTATGTCTGGTTTCTTTATTCTGTACAAAAACCAAAGTGTAAAAATGACATTTGCTGTTATACTGGGTTGGTTATGTATCGGGCTATCTCTTGGTTTGGACCAGTTGCCAGGCAACTAGCAGAAACTCCAGAAAGTTACTGCACCTTGCCAAGAAATAGACCAGCACATAACCAACACTTTAAACTGGCATTTTCTTTGTACGGATTAAACCAGGGGTGTCAAACTCCTTTTAATTAATCGGCCACATACAGTCCAATTTGATTTCAAGTGGGCTGGACCAGTAATGTTCAATGTCTTTAAATATAACCACATTGAGTATTCAATGTTTTTTCAGTGGACTGTATTCTGGCCAGGGTGGAAAAGCCTCTGAAGCAGGATTTTACATAAAGTAGGCTACTCACTGTTTAACTTGCTCCTGAAGTCTGGTGCCTCTTAGCCTTATAAAGCACACCAATATTAGTTATGCAGAGTCATCCAGTGGGCTGGTTTGGACCCATTAGGCAGGCCAGTTCCGGCCCTGGGGCTGCGTGCTTGACACCTCTGATTAAACAAATAAGACACAACCTGCTAATTTGTGAGTTTAAGAGGTGTTAAGACTCAGACAGATTTAGTCATGTTCAAACATCTGTTTACTGATTCCAGTCTTTGTGCTAAGTTAAGCTGATCGTCAGCTGGCTGCAGCTTAACGATGAACAGACAGATATGAGAGTGGTGTCAATCTTCTCATCTAACCTTTCTGCCAGAGAGCTTAGGAGTGCATTTCCCAAAGTGTGCAACCGTTCCTTTAATGGGGTGGTTTCTGTTCTACTTTTTTCACCGTTGTGTTGTTTTTGTGTGTTTAAAGTCATATGTGTGTGTGTGTGTTTTTACTCCCCTCACCTCTTCCTCCACTCGCTCCGTGTTTTCTGCTCATTTGTTGTCACTACTCCCACCATCACTCATAGTACTGTAAGTGGTTTAAGGCTGCCTGATAGCCCTCCTGAGTCTGGTCTACTGAGCCCTATTCCAAAAATAGTGACACCGTCTCTGCTGTGTACAGTACAGCAATTAAGTGTTTGGATGGTAGAGCGTCTGTTTCGTATCAACCTGCACTCCATCATTTAGATGCATCTCACACGTCACTGAGGCATTAAGTGAACCTGTTCATTCTTATCCCCTCTAATTACAACTCACTTGACTCTTTCAGAACCGCAGGGTGATCAATTACTCTGCATCTGTGCAGTGATGTTGAAACTATTGTAAAATCAGCGAGCAGCAGCGGCTGTTGTGATTGCCTTGCATTACGTTATTGAGATAATTATCTATATTTGAGTGGCATTTAATCGGCTGATGATGGCGGCATTTCTAAGAAATGTGATAGCAGATCAGTGAGTCAACAATATGTTACTCCTTTCTGTCGAGATAATGATGCTTTTAGGCAGGTTTGTTTGTTTATCACCTTTCAAACTCGGAGGCAATTCAAAGTGCTTTACATAACCTGAGGAAATCCATTAGAACCACATTAAAACACACAAGGAAAATACAATCAATAAACAGTTACAATGCCAGCACTGTCTCCCAGACATTAAGTCTATATGGTACTATACTGCTTTCTTAATTGACCCTCCGCTAAGCCCCACTCCTTTGTGATGGTCTGTCATGCTGTTGGAGCTAGCATGGAGCCCACACTGTTAACTAACTGCACTCCCTGAAAAAATGTCATCAGAGTTTTTGGACAAACAACAAAGTGATTTCAGAGAGCAGCAGACAGAGGGGTCTACAATATGTGTTTGAAGGATATATCCAGGATGTCAAACTGACTCAGCAGCAAAAGCAGTTTGAAAAGATGAAGCTAGTTAGAAACTATAGCTTCTGTAAGGCCTCTGTATAGTTAGGCTTGAAGCTTCATATCGCAGTATAAAAGTGAGCCAACACATCACTGGAGATTAAAATAGACATCAATGAAATTAAAGGAAAACGTAGCCAGTTTTCAACCAGCTATGTGTCATTGCAGTGTATGCAGATTAATGATGTGTAGCTTCCCCCTGTGCTGCCAGCGCCCGCAACTCCACTGGTGGACATGCGAGGAGCTCTAAGGGAGGCCAAACACCATTCATCTGCACACACTGCAATGACACATAGCTGGCTGAAAATTGATAAAGTTTCCCTGTTTCACTTCACTGGTTCCTATAGAGCAGGGTAGGCCTTTTTACATTATCATTAAAAAGGAAGAAAGTATGTGTATAACTTTCATTAGGCTATACCTTTATTAGCTAGCTAGCTAACCCTACACTTTTCAGGGTTTGAGTTTCATTTTGGAACAGTGACGATACCTTTATCTTCTTCCAACCTCTCCAGGTAGCAAGTATCATCATTACCGGTGTCCCAGACACGTTTAGCTGGATATCCACAAGACAAGCCAGGAAATAAAGAAAATGTGAATAGATAGAAGTGTCTAAATTATGTTAAATTATTTCATTGTAATGTTCTGCACTGTACTATTTAAGTATTAGCCATCTGTGAGAGGGTGCGACTTCATTTACATAAATTTGTAGACTAATACATGATGCTCTTATTTCTATTTGCAGACTGAAATAAATTCTAAATTCTAAATTCTAGATTGCTTGAGAGTCTGTGAAGCACAGCCATGTCGTTGTCGGACACTTGGTGGAGCTGGCTAATGCTACGCTTTGACTGGCCAGTCTGCGCTTGAGGGGGGGGACTTAGCGGAGGGTCATTTGCGATGTAGTGGCAACGTAACAGCTGCCTGGAAAATGTTCAGAGACATTTCTTAACAACAAACACTACATTTATGCACTGAGGCTCTGGAAGGAGGTAGTTGGGGAGGAGGATGCACTTTAATTTAGGGAAAGATTGTGAATTTAGTTAGATGTTAATTTAAAAGGTAGTAAAAAAATTCTTTAGTCACTGAGAGTAGATACTGTATTACAAGATTGCCTGTTTTGTCAGAAAACAACTGAAATATATTTTCAGTTAACACTTTGCCGATATGTTCAGTATCAACGTTTTGTGCCTTGCCAGATACGTTAACTAGCAACATTAGCACCATTATGTTAATAGAAACCATAATTTGCTCGGCATTGTGTTTTCCTCAAAGCGTATTTGTTGCAAATTGGTTTTATATAAATGTAATTTCTAGGAGTCAGGGTGACAAAGGAACAAAAGTGCTGCAGAAAAATGAATTGTATGCACCGGACAGCTTTTAGGGTATTGATAACTTGCTTTTGAGAGTAGTATTGACATGTTAATCACAACAGGTAGCCAGAAAATATCGAATTGTTTGGTGAGAAATCATTCATTTTACCGCCAGCCTACACTTGATGTCTAAATGTTGTTGAAGACATTGTCCTGTTGTGCAGCTGTGTGTTGTGTGGTTTGTCCTCAGTCAGTGAAAGGTCCCTGTACTGAAGCCGACATTCTGTCTGTACTCGTCTCTGTGACGTCTTAAGTCGAGGTCAGCTGGGGTGGGTTAGGTGGCATGATTTTACTAAGGATGTGCAGCTGAGTTGCTGAGAGACGAGAGACATTTGTGTTCTGCTATTATCACCTGCATCTTAAAACCTGAAGATGATGCATCTGCATTGTTATGCAGCAATTATGCCCAATTCACAGAGCCAGATTTGTCTTCGCTGTCCCCTGTGTGGAGGGAAATGAGGTCGACCTGCTGCATCTCCAAACTCTTGAAACTCTGTGGCCTATTTCTCACCTGAAATATTTTCACAAACTGATTTCTAATGTATTAAATCTCTTTACTTTGCTAGTACTACACAGATGAATTGGGCATTATAATTTGTCTTTATAAAGTGATCCAATGGCCATCAATTCAGTGCAGTTTTAGACAAAACCTTTGCACTTTGGAAGAGATGTGTTTGTCTCAGTCCACACAAAAAGACAACTGTGCTCTCCAATTTACTCACAGGGTTACACAGTAAATCTCAGCTCAGACCTCTTCACTGTTTACTTACTGACTGTCTTGCCGACCAGCAGTGGCTGCTCAGGATTGTTGTTGTTGTTGTTGTTGTATACTGGACACTTGAGACTGATCTGAGAGCTCACAAAGTGTCTAACTCACCGGTTTGACTAACTTCACTGATGAATCTTTTGCCCTCCGGCTCTGTACGTCTGTGCGTCTGTCTCTCGTCTGTCCGTCTCTCTCTCTTCTTTGTATCCTGGTTTTTTCTTCCTGTCTGTCGGTGTTTCTTTGTCTCTGATCCGGCCCGCTGCTCCTCCCAGTGGGGCCGTGGATAAGGGTGGGCAGGGCGGTGCTGGACCCTCGCCGGGGACCAGTGACAGCGGGGGTGGTGCTTGCTCTGGGACTGGGGCGGGGCCCAGTCGCAGTGACAGCGTTCGAAGCATGGTGACGGGGGGCAGCAAGGCCGGGCGCTGGCAGACGGTCCAGAGCCACATGCATGCCGGAGGCCTACGGTTTAGCAAGTGAGTGGCGCATGGTGACAGGGGGCACGCATGAGGGGCAACAGGGGGCACAACAACAGCATGGAGTGGATATCAAGGCAGAGTGTGAGCTTGTATAAACATAGTGAATGGCACTGTTGCATGTACACTCAAAGATTGACATGAAGAGAAGGAATGTTTGACACCATGCAGATGGAGGTAATTCAAGGACGGGCTGGAAGAAAGGCCAGCTTCCTTTGTGGAGTGCACCTGTGATGCATGAGTAACTGCTGGTTGAAGTCCCTCGACTACAGAGAGCTTTGTCACTCATAAACAAATACCATTTTTATGTCAGCTGCCAACCCTCCACCAGCTGATGTCAGGACAGTCTCAGACAAAGTGAATCCACACAGTCATGCTGTTTCTCTGCAGTCTCCAATTTACTGAAGGCTGTGACAGTTTCGAGAATTTCAAACAAAACAGATGCTCGCAGAAAATCTTCAAAGATGGCGTGCTTGTTCATCCGAAGTAACAGCTTTTTAAATTTAGAGTGGGTTGCATGAACAGCAGGGGAGCAGTTTTATTAGACCACTGATACAAAAGAAACCCATTGCTAAAACATGATTCAGCGCAGCTACATTTTAACCAAATTTCACTGTTTATCAACCTCTGCAAACACAATCAAATAATCCCATTAAAATTTGACATTTTTACTGTTGATACTCAAAACAAAACAGATTCCACTTCTGACCTCATCCTAGATTTCATACAATATGTAACAGTGGTGAGCAGTTGTTTGCACTCACTTGAAAGCCCAATTCAGACCAAGATTCATATTAAGATGGACTACTTAAAATGCGCTGGTCTTCAACGTTCTGAAAACCTGCCAGATTACACCAATATGACTAGCAATGACTCTCTGTACTTCTGGTCTAACTTTTAGCTTTTTGGGCTGATTTAGTACCTGAATACAATTTGTGCCTCTTAAAATATGAATGAAGCTAGTAATGGTGAGATGATGCTGTTGCATTTCTAGTAGCAATGAAAAGGCAAAAACATAAAAAAATGATCTGAGTTTCAGATGGACCGTATTCATAGTAAATACGCCACAATAATGTGAATAAGCAGTGCAGATTAATCAGTCAGCGAGTATGTGTATGGGACATAAGCACTTACAGCAAGCAGCAGCAGCAGCAGCAGCGACTAGCCCTCCAATACCAACACATCATGAAGGTAGAGACCAACATTAAGTGTCAGCAGCTGCAGGTGTGTAAATGAGACAGGCTTGGTGTCAATGGAAACGTAACAAGCAAACATGCCGTCTGCCGACAATTTGTAGCCTAACTGACATGGCCAGCTGACTTTGCTACAAGCCGATTGGCTGTTGAACTTGACAAGCTGAGTCGCAGGTAGTCTTGCGTAGCCAGACGCTGTGTTATGGTCTTGCTATCGGGCACTAAGCTGAGTATGTGGTGACAGTGCTCTTGCAAAATAGCGCCGAGGTTGAACTTCTTTTGGTGGAACATTTGGCGAATATTGTCATTAAAATGGCCTTTCTCCTCCAGAAGCTCTAGCTCACTGGACACATTAAAATCCCAGAACTTGCTGGCTGTTTGTGGCTCAAGCATATCATTGTTACGATAGTATCACAGAAGCTTGTTTGACATGGAACAGATTGGTACATTAGTGAAGTCACTGTCACTGGCGCATGCTGCTGCCAGAGTTAAAAGATGTGGCAAGTCACCTGCGACTAGCCATGTCAGAAAACAGATCAACATAAAGCACAATCCAAATTTTTGTCAAAGCATGCCATTTTCAGCGTGCAGGGTGTTAGCTCGGAGGTGATTGTTGTTGTTTCCTGTAGCGAAGGGGATTCTAAAACAGTAACACGCAGATAACGGAAGGAAGGAGGCCAAAATCAGTGGCCCAATGGCAGGCTTTTAGCCTACATCTGATGAGCCAGACTAACTCGCAGATTACACCCTTGATCGACTTGAGTCAAGCTGAGATGGGTCAGTTCACACCACTGCAACTTTCCCGTGCAACTTTCTAAAACAATTTCGTCTTGTTGCAAATCTTTGGTCTGAACTGGGCTTTAGGTCCCTGATAAATGTAAAAGTATTGAGTATTTCACCAAAGGAATAGAAATAATTGTAGAAAAACCGACAAAACTGACAAAATAGTTTATGCTTTTGATCCAATCCTTACACACATATCATGTATGACCAATCAACTTTAATATGTGACACCCTTTGGGGGTCACAACCGCCATCTTGGAAAGCACCACTCCAGTCCATATGGTTTAGCCCAGCTCTTACTATTGGAAACTTTGGGCAACTGATCACAGCACAATCACACAATCGTATTGTAACACAGAGCAAAATGGCTGGAGTAAACAAGTGTCTAAACTCAAGTGTTTGCTATCTTCACTAACTGATCTCCAGCTGTGATCTGATATCAGCTGTATACATGCTCTGTATTCAAATAATAATCTGTGCCTTGTGTGTGAGTTGGGTATAGAAATGCTAAAACAAATGGCAGTTATTGGAAGCTGCTTTCTTTTGGAAGACAACATTAGCACACTGAAGAGACTAATGAATAATAAATACACTGTAAGATCTCTGTACGTAAATCGTAGCCCAGATAATCAAACAGTCTCTTGTACTGAATCGCCTGAGCAGTTTGTTTAATAAATCCAGAGCAAAACATAGTGGAATAGATTAATAAACAAGTGTGGTGTGTAGATTCATTCATTCACCCCTTCATTCATTCATTCATGCAGTCATTCAGCTTTGTATCTACATAACTGTGTCCTTGTTATTATACAGTAGATTGATTAGAAACAAGAGAGCAATACTCTGCCTTCAGAATTGATATTTATAGAGATTATAAATTGCTTCCACGCACAATCAATGAATCATTCTTGGTGTTTGACTGCTTCGAACAAAGTAAATCTTCTAATGATACAGCGTGTGGCTTTTTAACAACACGACAATTAGACTTGCAAAATAATTTTTGGACTTGATTTCGCATTGTGTTATTCGTCACTCCTGTCACTCCTCCTTTCAGATCTACCTGTATTTCCATTTCTCCTTTGGAATTGGTTTCTATTTTTGGGCATTTACCTCTCCGCCCTGTCTGTCTCTCTCTCACGCTCTTGCTCAGTCTTCACTGTTGGTATTTTTTTTTCTCTCGCTCTGACACTGTCTCCTTGTTCTTCACCCTCCTCAATTTTCCTTAATTACAAAATCATTCAAGGTTTATAGTCATCATAATTGACTTTCAAGCAAGAAGAAATGTGAAAATAACCCTCTAAGGCAGTAATAGGATACAGCAGATAAAGAGGGCCCATGCTCAGGGAATATGAATGACTGGTGCCGGTGCCGAGCAGACGTATACAAGAGACAATAAAGATGTACAGCACCCGAAAGCACACGCACATACAACAACCAAGGAAGGGACTCTGCTTGTGTTGTGGAGCCTTCAGATTTTTAAAATGAGTAAATTCTTGGCCAAGTTTATGACACCGAACAGACTGGAAAGATTTATTAGCACATGGACTGACTCCCAGCTGTCTGGCCTAATGCCACCATGAATCCAGCCAGATGTATTGATTTATCATGATGTCAGTTATGATAACATGTTTGCCAGACCCAGAAATACTCTGAATATATAGTTTCTATGTGTGCCCCTGGATTCTCTCTATTTATTCTTTATATCCACATGTGACTGTACCATAGCTGCAGTGTTTGGTTTGTATGCCCAGATGGTCAAAAACAAAGAATTTCTGTGTGGTGTGTTGTTACGCTTTCGTGCCTTTCCTTTTATTTTTCTAGCATTTCATTTCACCTCTGTCCACCAGTCCTCGTGGCACATGACAAGTGTTGTGATTTCACCTGAGGAGCGATCCATCATGTGGCAGGAAAATGTGATCTTAGCAAAATGGAAACATGTATAGCACATATTACAGTTTAAAAATAGTTTGTTGTTAGGTAAACTTTAAAAATAGAGCTGCAGCATTTAGTCATTTAATCAGTTATTTGATTGACAGAAAGTTAATGGGCAACAGTTTTATTAATCACTGAAAATGCCAAAATGTGACAGTCCCTTATAAGCATAGATTTCAGGAGGGATACAGGGGTCACGTCCCCCTCAATATTTACAACATGTGCATTTGTTCCTAATAAATTATGAAAGTAGCAGAGGACTTTTGTTTTTAAGAACTTTCAGACATTTCCACCATAAATTGATGCAGAAAAGGGACAGTTTGTGCATAAAAATTAACCAGAATGCAGAAAAATAACTCTTTAGTGCTTTCATTTTTTTTAGTGAAGGACCCCAGAACCCCTGTTTCACATGTGTGTGTGTGCCCCAAATGTTGAAACAAAACTTGTGTCTTTGCGTTTCCATATTTAATATTTTGGGATTTGGAAATGTTGGTTGCCCAAAACAACATATTTAATGGACACAATTAATCAAGAGAATAGTCTGCAGATTAATCAGTAACAATAAATTAGCTGCAGTCCTACTTTAACATTTACATTGGGTGCTTTAAGATCTTGAGTTCATTAAAACTCACACTCATGATTCACAATAAAAAGGATAATATATCCACCTTACTATTTGTTTGTGTTAGTTTTAAATTCAAGAGTTTTTGTTGTTTTTCAATGATTGCCAATTAATGACTTGAAACAATGAAGTGTTTCAACTTACTTGAGCATGAAGATGAATTGAGTCAGCTCCAAATGTACATGCACACAGCCATCAATGATGAGAAAAAATGAAAATGATTTCAGAGTGTGAGGAGCTGCTGTAAATATTAATTTCAGCTTTACTTTTTGATCACATAGGTTCATTTTAGGGCCATCAGAAGTAATTATTCCAACTGTGTTTCTTAGAAATCATACCTTCTCTGTCAGCTCGGTACAGCAGATTGCCCTAAATACTATGATAACCGTA